TATCAGCCGAAGCTGAGCATCATTCGCAAGTATCGTTTTCTTCACTGGCCCGGAGCCTCAGGTCGTAACAAGGAAATCACTTACCTCGATGATGAACTGCATGCGATGCTGCCTGAGAGGCATTTTGACCCTAGGACACGCCAGCTGAAGGAGCATCATCCCTAGACTGTGAGCTGACATGGATCTTCAATCGAAACAAGACAAATGCCTGCTCTGATCGCTGCAATGTCCCATTCGACTGCTTGAAAACGCAAGGCGATGAGAGAAGATGATGGAGATAAGTACAGAATTGAGGGAGTCACTGGAAAGAGTCAACATAAATAGCAACGACGTTGTCTAATTCATGATATTTAAGGAAGTCACTATTGAACAACAACGGCATCGACACCGCCTGCTCTTGCTCATCTACGATCAATATGTCTCAGGAAGTTGCTATGGAGCTAGAATGGTATCGGCGTCGCCTGCTCTTGCTTAGCTACGGCCAGTCTGTTACGCTATGAAACAGTATTCAAACCGGAACGAAAGCTCCAGCGTGCTTATCGCACTGTCCGTGTGGACGGGTCTAAAAAATCTTATATGATGCTACTATGTGCGTATTAGGCATCCTTGAAGAAAGCTGTCGTGAAATGATAGGAGGATCTTGAAAAGCCTATGGTGCATCTACTTGTAACATCACCTTTCTAGGCCTCGAATGTCAAGAAGTCATGGGTCTACTCAGGTCTTGACAAGAATACGAGAATGAATTCGCCGTCTATTTTCTTCAGGGGTTCCGTTTGACATACTTTCATCTATGGAATGATGCCGAAACGGCCAGCTACCAGCTGGTGTGCGAAGGTCCGGACGGCTCAGGCTGATTCGGGCATCATCTGTAATTTATCTTGCCAGTAAGGTAGGTAGGCGACGTTGCTTCGACACGACCCGAGAGAGTTTTCTCACTTGGGGAAAGCTCTTTCAAGGCTGACAGCCCCACGGTTCTTACCTGCTCAGTTCTGCAGCTTCCAACCCTAGCTCAGGGTCTACATAGCGTTGAGGATTAGACCACCAAGGGTATGGCAGTCACTTAGGTACACCCTACTTACTCCATACATAGGGCACAGGAGAGACGGCAATGGCCAGTGCAAGATGTGGTTCATCTGATTGCCCTTGTACAAGATTTAGATGATCCAGTCATCAAGCAAGGTGCGAGAGAGGCCACTCTCCCTAGAAGCGTACTGCAGTATCTGGATGTTCTTTTTCCGTTCGGAGCGCTCTACTGTTCTGGCAGTCAATCTCTTCACATAAATACTACAGGGTGTCACGTATCCTATGTATAATGAACGGCACCATTCGGATAAGCAGAGTAGTATATGATTTGCAAGCTTCTCGACGATCTACAATTCAGAAATAAAACAAGGGTATCATCAAGATATACCTCAATTGCCAGTGTTTCCCCTGCGACCACCACGCTTGGCCCGCTCCTGGTGCGCCTTCAACACCGCTCGCGTTTGCACCAGACTGCGCTTGTTCTTGCTCTTCGCCTTGCCCAAGGTCATGAGGAAGTTCTTCTTACGAGCCTTCTCTTTGTTGGTAGTACTCTTGCCCTGTGCATCCTTCTTCTCCTTGCGCTTGGCGGTCACACTCTTGTGCTCAGCCCGATCGGTCTTGCCCTCCTTGGCATGAGCAATGCGTTCCTCGCGCGTGGCTTTGCCGGCGGACAGAGCTGCCAGACCCTCGATCTCTTCAGCCGTCAGGGGGTCGTCGTGGTGGCGGTTGCTGGCAGATTGACGCCCCTTCACGCCCGCAAGGGCGTTGACAGCTGCTTCGGTGCGTAGCTCCTGCAGCTTCGCCAGATCGGCGGGCGTAAGAATGCGAGTAGCTGCCAGGCTGAGCTTCTGGTCTAATTCCTTCTGTGCCTGGGACTCTTCGGTGGTCGCCTCCGCAGCAGACTCCGCAGCAGTCTCTTCATCCGACTTGGCCTTCTTCTTCGGACGTTTCGAGTCTTCGTCGTCGTCATCCGAGTCACTTAGCTCAATTTCAGCATCACTCTGCACCTGAATCCAGCCATCAGAGTCATCGCTGTCCTCGTCCTCCTCGACATTCCAGGCATCCCAATTATCCTCTTCTTCTTCCTCTTCGTCATCTTCCGCATCGGAGGGCAGGCCCTTCTCGGCCCTCTTCTTGCGACGTTCCTCTTCCTTCCATTGCTCAAGCAGCTCGATGCCCTCGATACCGCCGGCCGCTTGCTCGGCGAAGCGTTTCTCCTTCTTCTCTCCCGACCGCAGGCCCATAGAGGCTTCCTTTCCACGGTCTCTTCTCTTGAGCCATTCAGGGTTGAGTTCACGGAACAGACTGAGCAGACCACGAGCGGCCATGACCACTCCCTTGTCCTTACTCTTTCTGTACATGACAAGATCTTGCAACAGAGTCTCGTTCATCGCAAGGGGTTGGCGCGCGCAAATCTCTCTGATAGCATTGAGACCTGCGGATGCGACCTCTGCTGCCGACGCTTCGGAAACGAACTCGTTGGCGATCTTCTGAACCAAGGGCTCAAGGTCATCGGGAGGAACCAGATCGTGGGAGGCCTGCGCAAGGGAAGCCAAGAACGAAGTGACGGAAGGCTGGCGGGGCGTGAGGTATTTTTGGAAATAGGAGTACAGGTGCATGATGTGAAGCTTGTGCAAACCGACCAGGCGAGTCACAAGCTGAAGAACCAATAGCTTTTGATCCAGGTTCAATTTGGACTTGGTACTCTGTAGGTGCTTGGAGAACAGGCTTTCTGCGTACCCCTGGGGATCGTGCAACAGGTGAAGCGCGGAGAAGTTCAGCGGGTGGGGTTGGTTCTTCTTGCGCTCACGGCGCTTGACGGTTGCTCTGGCTTTCTCGACAGCGCGAGCCTTCTTTTTGGTCTTCTTGTTGATGCCGATGATATGCTTTACTCTGCCCATGTCGATGGCCTCTTCATCGCTGCTCTCATCCTCCATCTCTTCACGTTCCTTATCACCGCCCAGAAAGAAGCGGATTCCGCCCACGATGACCTTCTCGTTGGTAGCAAGACTAGCCTCCTTCATGACCTCGACAGCCTTGGCATCAGTCCAAATCTGGCGCTTCCACAATTCGCGCGTAAGCTTGATAGCCCACAGACCCTTGGAGGAGGTGCGGTCGGAAGTGACTAGGTTGTAAAGGACGGTCTGCATGGTACGGTTGAGTTTGTGATTCGTAGACTTCGCATTGGAAGATCGCAGGTCCATCAGAATCTTTTGAAACAGTAATGCGCGCAGTGTCTTGCTGGGCGTTGAGATGAGAATAGGGAACAGTGTCTGAAGGAGTCTAGAGTCGCACGGATTAGCGGTAGCGCTTGATTGGCCAACATTTGAGAAGGACTTACGTCGCGGAATCCAAGAGTTCCTTCTTTCTCAGAAGTACCAAGCTTCCAACGATCTTCTCCCGCAACTCCGCCTGCAAGATCAAGTGATGCTGCGACAGGATATCCATCAGTTGCTGAGGAAAGTCCTTTGTAATTTCAGGGTAGCAGTCGGCCACGTGGGCGATAAAATCGATCAGTTCACGGAGCGAGATGATACCCGTGTCAGTGGCCGACGAAGGTGCCGCCATGAAAATCTCGCGGTGACTCTCATATTGGTAGTGCTGAGCGCGAAAATCTTCGATGTAGGACCTGACAGAGGCACCCTGGTTAGCTTACTTCCAGCAGTCGTGGGGATTGTAGCGCGGGAAAAAAATGACTTACTTGGGGTCTCTTCTAATCTTGTGCTGAAGATTAGGCCTGGAAAAAAAGGTAACGATGTGTCAGAGATCGTGATGAAGTTCTCTCTCCGAGTCGGCGGGTAGAATTTTCTCTGTCCGACAGTGAGGAGCACTTACAGATCAGCCTCGACCTTTTCCAAGGCCCCTAACTTCCTCTTCACCATATTTGCGACTGGATATGGTGAGAATTCAGAGGAGTGATATGGGTTGATGGGGTTGAGGAGGGAGATGGAAGAAGGTGGTTGGCTCTGCCCGTGGCTGATAATGATTTAGACCCAGAACATTTTTTTTCTCCTGCTACGGGGTTCTGGCCTATCGATAAGCGATCAGCCAAAGGCGGCGACGGCGGCGGGAACAACTGAACTGCAGTGGTCCCTGCGACATCAGATTTTGTCTACTTGTCTATCAAGCGCTGCTGCGCTTGCCGCACGACTAAATTTCATAAGTAGAGACAGATCTAGGCTACACATGATAGAGTCGTTGAGGGGTTCATCAAGTGTGTTCAAATACAACAATGGCCGAAAGAACATGAGAACAGGTAAAAAAATCTTTTCGTTTAGAGTTAAAAAATGGTAGGTTCTGACTCCGAACAAGCCAGAGGTCTTCATGATCGCATCTCAACTACTGTGGAAGGAAAGCCGTCCAATTCTCTCATTTTTGAGGATCTCGCTCCCTCCCGTGACTGTTTTCAGGTATGTACAGTCGCGCAGATGCATGCAAATCGACTGAATCCTATTGAACCCCCCGTCCACTCCAGTACACGCAAAACCAGAACCAAACGGAGAATACGCCCAAAGTTCCCACTTTACCGGTTGCTCTTGGCAACACGCTCGAGCTCGTCCTTCTTCTTGATGGCGTAGGAGTTGGAGCTACCCTTGGCGGCGTTGATGAGCTCCTCAGCCAAGCACTCGGCAATGCTCTTGATGTTGCGGAAAGAGGCCTCACGAGCACCGATGGTCAGGAGAGCGATGGACTGGTTGACACGGCGGAGGGGAGAAACATCGACGGCCTGGCGACGGACGGTACCAGCGGAACCAATACGGGTGCTGTCTTCACGGGGACCACAGTTGACAATGGCATCAACGGCAACCTGGAGAGGGTTCTGGTCGGTCATGATGTGGATCTAATGCGAACTGTTAGCGCCTTCTTCCAAGGCTGATTTCGGTTTTCTGTCGGTGGAGTAGTGTTTCGGTAGAACATACGATCTCGAAAGCGTGAGCAACGATGCGGACAGCCATGAGCTTCTTTCCGTTGTTGCGGCCGTTCATCATGAGGGAGTTGGTCAGGCGCTCGATGATGGGGCACTGAGCCTTGCGGAAACGCTTGGCGGCATAGCGACCAGCGGAGTGAGGAAGGTAGACAGGGGAGCGGATCTGGATGTAGTCGCTGGTTGCGTGAAATTCGAGTCAGCACATTTCATTCCGAGCCTTTGCCGTCCTCCCTTATCCAATCCATTCTGAATCAAGATTCTTTCTCTTTTGCCCCATTTGCGCAAATCCTTCCGCGTCGTGTTTTGCTTGGATTCGAATCGACGGTTGCCTCCAACCCGACAAACAGGCTGGTGCAAACTTGTTTTCCTCCATGGCGCCAATTCGTTCCTTCTCTTCGTGGTAATAACAATCGCGATGAAATGGGAAGCACCTACGTCAAGGAGATGTCCCGGATCTCAACATCCTCGTAGCTCCACTTGTTGAACAGCTTCACGCTGCCCTGCTCGGCAAGAGCATCCTTGGGCAGGACCTGGAAGGCCGCAGCAGGGTTTTCGACCTCGACTTCGCCGTGTTCAGACATGTTGGACGACGTATGCACCTGTTGTCGAGGGAGGGATACGTGAAGGGGTGGCGGACGGTGTCGTTGGGTGATCCTGCAACGTCGACGAATACAGTCGGTCGGCTGAAATGTGTCGCTGAGCCCACGGAAATTCGAGGTGCGACTCGCTTAGCGGTGGGTGGGCTTAGGGCAGGGCCGACCACCAATGGTGCCGGCGGTGTCATGTGACTGAGCACTAACGGGTCTGCTCCGGTGCACCAACCCCGATCAGGATTAGCCCATGATGACCCGGTAGATAACCACATCTGACTCCGCTTTCAACCCACCGACATGTTACGAACTATCCTGGATGATCTAGACTGTATTTTGCTGGAGGAAAGGCCATCGATAGTAGCCTATCACTTCCACAGCCGCTCAAGCCTGATCACCGAGTTGTACTATGTACACGCTCGAAATATCAGTCTTGGGCCAATCGTTTGGGACAGAGTCCTTCACCATCGGTCAACCCAGCAGCAGCATGCGCTCGTTGCTTTAGGGGATCGATTTGAGACAGACCAAAGACCGCTTGTGGGGTATCTGGTCTTGATTTTAGGATCTCAATTATAGCACGGCATCCTCAACGAATCGATTGTCCTTAAACCTAGGATGCAACACTTGTCTGCGAAGTTCATTTTACCTTCGATGGCTCAAAACCATGTCCTCCAGATTGGAGAAGCTACATCCACGCGGCGCCAGTTAACAGATCTCCTGCCGGGTTGACTGGACAGATCTCGAATGATTGGATGAGAATTGCGATGAACGACCACGATTATCCATTCCGCTATTAGAGTCACAATGACTGCATCCACGTATGGTCAGAGCCGGAGAGAGCGAGTCTTTGAGCACAACCCTCCAAGCGATCTCGCAAAAGGTGAAATTCTTCTATGTTGGTATTGAAGGACTCCAGCACTCGCTCGATAGCAGTAGGTCTGTGCTCGGTCGCATTACGAGCATGGAATTCATGCCCTCGAACCGATAGCCTCCTCTCACTTGGAGCAGCAGGACGATCATGCCTATCTCTATGCCCCTGGTGAACAGGGTAGGGCCTTCTGCTCATCTGATCGGAGTAGACTTTCATCGCACGTATCGCAGTGATCGTAGCAGATAGGCGAACCATGTAGACACCTGGGGATTAGTTTGTCATAAGGGCATGGTCGGACTCTAGTTCCGTTCTACAAGTAATGTTCCCTGGTGATTGGCCCACCAAACTCAATGGGCCGGATCTCGACTTCATCATTCATATTGAGGGGAGACTCATCATTACGCCCCCATGAGCGGTGTCTTGATGTACCCCATTCAAACCCTGGTTAACGTGAAGCGATTTCATAAGCGGGCGATCTCTGATTCGAAGCCACCGAGGTGTAAATAACAGGTGACCAATAGTCCTACGAGCTCCGAACGCTGCGTGGAGGACTTCAGTCGTCAGAGCGCCTTTTCATCCGAGAGTCACTGTTATACTAACACCAGCTGGACTCCATTCCATGCTGACTGACTTGCTCAGACTAGGCTGGACTAGACTTCAATAATAGCATTGCGCAAGAAGGTGATGAAGACGATCCCAGAGCGCGTCATTGAAAACGAGTGCCTCGTAATCAGCCCTGGATTCAGAAAACATTTCGTAGCAAATTCATTCAAGGCATGAATTTGTGTTCTGAACCGCTTCCAGTCTTAAGCTGGATGGTAGGTTCAAGGTTAGTAGAAATGAGCAGGGTTGGTCTTCCCGCAATTTCCTAGAGGAAACTCTTGTGACAGGTTGACACAGCACAATCGGCATCGGATTGATTCAATACCACCAGGGGGTGGTTATTATTCTCACCAGTCGATTGTTCTCCCTAGGTAGATCTCGGCGCCAAGGTGCATGCATTGACTCCACCTGAGCTAGAGTAGAAAGATGTTCAAAGATAGAAAATGTATAGATTTAAGCGAAAGAGAGTACCATAGGTTGCTGTGAAATCTCGTTTCCAGTTTATCAGAGTAATTTTAGTGTTGGTACAAGGTCTACAGTCTGGCAAGGGAAGGTCAACCCCCCAACCTTGGATAGACTATGTGAACAAGTCAGAAAGGGGAACATCCCGCACCGGGTAGCGGAAAAGCCGGTGAGAGTCAAATCATGCAGAAATCCCTCCCACACCACCGAGGGACGGACATGAGGATTGGCTGTTACAAGAACGCGTACCTGTCACTGGAAACACAAGATAATATGTTCTTTCAGGGGTCATCTATGGTCGTCGTGGTGACTGAAGACGAGCGTTAAGCGCATTTACCACTAGAATGAAACGAGCCGCCAGTCTCTTATATAGGACGTAGTTGGCTGTATTTTTGTACTGTACAGTACCTTAATTTAACATCATCCCCAGATCCTCATCGTCCATCATCCCGCGGTGTGGCGGTGCCAATTGTGCCAACAGTGCCAATTGTGCGTCTGCGGCCCGCCTCACAGGCCCTACTCCCACCTAATTAAAGCCCACTCGGCAGGTGACGTTGTGGCTCTTTGTGGCTCTTCGGGCGCGGAGAAAGCGAGAGACACTCCGAGGAACGTGAGAGAATCCCCCCATCCCCCCCCCCCTTCCCCTCCTCCACATTCCCCCATTCTAACTGCTTCTCCTCGGTCGCAAGAGGCCGCATTTATTGGGGACTTCTTCTTTTCTCCCCATCTGTTTCCAGTGCCTGTATTGCCAACTCAAACATCCTGCGATGAGAGCATCTTTCTTCGTTCACGCCCAGTCGTACGCGCCCTCGAATGACAGCCCCTCGTTTTGTCCCCCTTCAGCGCTTCTGTGATCATGGCGGACGACAATCCTGAGCTGCAGTCCGCTCTGCGCGACCTTGACAAGGAATTGGAGGTACGAGACGGTCACCATCGCTTTCTGCCCATCTAGGACCTGGTTATCGTATTGGCAATTCTTTGGCTGACTTGCTCTTGCTCTGCACTATTAGGAAGGTGATATCACCGAGAAAGGGTAAGCATCCTGTTGGTGCCGAAAATCGGGCAGTGTACGCGGATAATGCCCCCCTCAGGACAAACATCATCAGCATCTATTCAGAATCCCAGGACACACGTTTTGTGGCAGACCATCAACTTGATCATGAACTAATTTTGTCGCAGATATCAGAAACGGCGCACATTACTCCTCTCGCAGTTTTTCGGGCCTAATATGGCACTCGACCTAAATACCCCTACATCCGGAAATGCTCCCTCATCAATCACCAGTTCAACTCACCCGCCTCCGGCTATCCTCAACGTTAGACCCCCTACGGCCGATTCCACAAGCCATGGTGGGCCGTCGGATTCCTTCTCGAACGGCCGCGACAGTTTTCAGAATGGGGGCTTCGGACATGATCGGAGGATAAGTGGCGAGACGCAGGGTTCATACGAACGAGACAGCATGTTATTAGCTGGAGACAGAGCCCCGTCAGCCGCTTCTTATGATTCTCTTTTCCTTCCGAAGGCACAGCCTGCGCCGCCGCTACAAGAGAATTCGAGGACGGCAACCCTTTTAAGTCAGAACTATGCATTCAATCCGGGCCCTCCGCACGATCATTACGATGAGCCTGTCGGGGCCTACGATATGCCATCTGGCACTGGTACGCGACAGTCGACCATGCTCGACTCTCAGCAGGGGTACTTCTCCGATTTTGCTGGCCAGCAACAGGACGATTATAGAGACAGTTACGGTGGTGGCTTTCATCGCTATTCCCAATCAGACACATTTTCCCCTACGGCAAATATGGCACCGCCATTGATTCCTGCTTCTGAACTTCCTCACGGACCGGCACTTGATCACCTACTACCGTTGGAACCTCGGGACATCCCATTTGCGGTTCATGACCCCCACGACAAGAACACCCCCATGTCTAATTTCGAAAACATCCCGGCGGTTCTCCGGCATCGTGCTCGAGTGCATGCGAAGCAGCCTGCTTATTGGGTCCTAGACCAGAAAGGAAAGGAGATCGCCTCGATCACTTGGGACAAACTTGCTAGTCGCGCGGAGAAGGTGGCGCAGGTTATTCGGGACAAGAGCAATCTCTATCGCGGTGATCGCGTGGCTTTGATCTACCGCGACTCCGAGATCATTGAGTTTGCTGTGGCTTTGATGGGATGTTTCATCGCCGGAGTTGTCGCTGTCCCGATAAACAGTCTCGAGGACTATCAAAGCCTCAACCTGATCTTGACTTCCACGCAAGCACATCTCGCTCTAACTACGGAGAATAACCTCAAGAGCTTCCAGAGAGACATCACAACCCAAAAGTTGAATTGGCCTAGAGGGGTAGAATGGTGGAAGACGAACGAGTTTGGCAGCTACCACCCAAAGAAGAAAGACGATACCCCACCGCTCGTGGTTCCCGATCTGGCTTACATTGAATTTTCAAGGGCCCCTACCGGAGACCTGCGTGGTGTTGTCATGAGCCATCGAACGATTATGCATCAGATGGCTTGTCTCGGCGCAATAGTTTCGACGGTGCCTGCATCTTCGAGCGCAACGAAACAACGTGGAGAGACTCTTATCAGCTACTTGGATCCCAGACAAGGCATTGGAATGATTTTAGGCGTCCTCCTTACTGTGTACGGGGGCCACACCACTGTCTGGCTTGAAGATCGGGCCGTAGAGACACCTGGCCTTTATGCTCACTTAATCACTAAATACAGGGCAACTCTCATGGCCGCTGACTACCCCGGCTTGAAAATCGCAGCATACAACTACCAGCAAGATCCAATGGCCACGCGACATTACAAGAAGAATTCTGAACCCAATTTTGGATCGGTGAAGCTCTGTCTGATTGATTCGCTCACGGTCGATCCTGAATTTCATGAAATTCTAGCAGACCGATGGCTTAGGCCCATGCGCAATCCCAGGGCTCGAGAAATTGTCGCTCCAATGCTTTGTCTTCCTGAACACGGTGGCATGGTCATTAGTGTGCGGGATTGGCTGGGTGGTGAAGAACGCATGGGCTGCCCTCTGACGCATGAGATGGACCCCAGCCAGCGCGAGGGGTTCAGGAAGGAAGAGAAGAAA